AACCTCTCGGTCTGTTTAGTCTCTTACGTTATGAATTTCCCAATTCTAGCAATCAACTATCTCCTCTCGGTCTCAAGTCAATCACAAATATGCATAAATACGGGCCTTATAATCACACAATTCATATAAGCACAAGAAATTGATACGCGAAAGGTAAACCGGAATGAATAAATAAAATCACTTCATAAAATAATCCGAGTACTCGCAAATCCTAGAATCTCAAAGAGGTTTACCTACTAAACATATTCTCAAAACTCAAAATAAACAAATCCAAGAGTTCAATGAAGAAGAAAAAGAGAAAAGAAAAACGAACTATTGTCAACGTTAGTTCCGAATCTTCAATCTTGACTTCCTCGAATCTCTCGTGTGTTTCGTGCTTTCTCTAGGCCTCCAATGGTGTCAAAAGTCCCAAAACCGTGATCTCCAAGTTCCTTATATACTGTAGGGCAAATATGGGTCAAAAAAGGGGATAAATCGCGTAAGAATCCTATTTCTCGTTGGTCAGTCTGCGAGTCACACGACTTGTGTCACATGCCACACGAGTCGTGTGACTTTCCTCGAATTTTCGACTAACTCCCAGACTCACACGACTGGTCACACGACTGGTTACACGACCGGGTCACACGACCCGTGTGAGGTCACACGACCCGTGTCAGTAAGCCACACGACCAGTGTGAAAATTCCGTAGCTAATCTCCATTCTTTTCACCCGACACGACTCGTGTCACTGACCACACGAGTCGTGTGACCTGCCTGCACCTTATTTTCGCCGTTTTTCGTCTCAATTCCATCTTTAACGCTCTTTCGGGCATATTTCCTACAAAACCAATGACAAATGTACCTCTATCATAGATTAATAAATCAAACAAAATAGTGCACAATTCCACGATAAACACGATTAAACATCACACTATATCACTCATAATGCATGAAATTATGATGAATGTCAACTCGTTATGTTAACGAGTCGAGCTCCCTAGATGCAATCAGTGGTTCTGGGAAGCGAATTTTGGGTTTAATGGTGGATCTAAGGTAATTTGGGGAAAGTGATGGCTTGTTTTCACCAGGAGATGTTGTCGGAATGTTATATTTTGGTTAAATATAAAATTAAATGGTTATAAGTTACTTGTAAGGGTGTAAGATAATGTTTGTATGTTATATTCATGAGTGTAACTTGAGTTATACAATGCATAAATTAGAGATAAGTTTCACTACATTTCACGACATGGGATGAATTTCACATTATAAGGTTAAAACGTTTAATTAAACTAATTAAACAAGTTGCAATTTAATGGGTTTAATGGTTCTTCATTAAAAAGAAGAGTTGTAACATTAAGAATCATACAGTTGTAACCACGCGACAAGTGGCATCCATATATACTTTTATTCTTTGTGAAATCTTATGAAAAAAAGTAAAATCTTGTTCAGTCCAAAATTCCATTTTCAATTTGTTTATTCTATACATATTTTCAAATGGGTGGGAAAATTGAGTTTTTATTTTTGTATTTTTTATTATTTTTTTTTTTTTACACAAAGTTCAGAAAAACTTGTTTGAGCCTTAAATTGTATATTATTTAATAAGTGTTCTTCAAAGAAATATAGAAAAATAAAATTTAAGTGTTGTTGAGTGTCTCTTTATCTATTGTTTAGTTATTATTTCCAAGAATTAAACACTCTATAGAGATTGGTATAGCCCTACTTGTGAACCGGAGTCAAGTATGAAGAGGTCCAAGCGAGACCTGAAGGAAGAACGACCTGACGAGATCTAGGCGAGGCTTGAGGTCTCAATGACTAAGTATAAGGTTCTCTCATGGACTAAGTGAGAGGTGCTCTCAATGACTAAGTACGAGGTGCTCTCAAGGACTAAGTATAAGGTGCTCTCAATAACTAAGTTCGAGGTGCTTTCAAGGACTAAGTGAGAGATCTCTATGACTAAGTATGACGAGCTAGAGGTGTTCTGAGGAGACTAGAGGTCTCTATGACTAAGTATGACGAGCTAGATGTGTTATGAGGAGACTAGAGGTCTTTGCGACTAAGTATGAGATCTCATCCACGAGATTTATAGAGAGCTGAGTTCAAATTGACCACTAGAGCACGATCTAGAGGTTTGTAAATGGATAAGAAGGAATCTGATGATGACTCAGATATGACTAGGATACAGATAAGATCAAATCTCAGGCAGTTCGGGCAGACTGACCGAGGGCAGTTCGGGCAGGTACTTCCATATAGGTATTTCCCTATAAAAGGGGAATGAGGTATAACGCTAACTCTCTCTCCCACATTCTACACACTCTACTTACATTACAACTCTAGATTACAGAGCTCTATCTTCTTCTTGCTTGTGCTGACTTAAGCATTAGAGGCCCAACGTCGGGATCCCTCCCGGCGTTGGGTTCTTGCAGGTTTCCCGAGGTTGTTCAGGCAGATCGAAGCTCTTTTCAACCGATTCTACCTAGATTCAGGTAGAGCCCCATCAGAGATGGAGACAGAGACAATCACGATCATGAATCAAGACATTGTGAGGTTGATAGGTTTGATGGTTCGAATTTGAATAGTTAACACCATAAGGTGAAAAAGATACATCATAAATTGTGGCTGCATGGAATAAAATAGAGGAAGACGGGCAAATATGTTGGAGTCATATATTGAATATGTTATCTGATAGGCTATATGTAGAAATTTGCGAGGCTCTACAAATAAATATAAAACAGAAGAATAAGATACTAAAATAAACTAATTTTTTGATTTTTTTTTATTTTTTTAATAAGAAACCTTTACTACATCAAATTCATGAGTTGCAAATACTTGTGAATAAGTTGGGAATTTAAAAAATGAACTTACGGAGACTTTTTATGTTGGTGACATCGTGGTTAAACTACCTTCAAGTTGGAATGAGAACTGAAAATGTATTCTACACAATAATGAAGATTACTCTTTGAAAGAGATTCATAAACATCTTCTATTGGAAAAGAATCAGATGACTTGTATACTGAAAGCATTGCTTTGTTTGAACTTATTTCCGTTTTTAATAAAAGAATCATGTTTAATCAATTATTGTGCAATTTATTTTTGTCATGTTATTTGCATTAATGATAATATATAGTGTGACGTTGTTGCACATAAGATTATATTATTAGTTTCTTGTGCAATATAAATAAGGTTCATAACTGAGATAGCAAATGGATAAACCTATCGGTGTTGTTATAGTACAATTTGAGTTAATTTATCTTAGATAATGAATTATGCTAGTACACTTTGTGTGTGTTGAACTGGACCTCGGGAAGAAGTTTATTTTATACTGACCCATTAAATAAACTGGACCTCGTGATATTGCGTGTACTTTAAAGTCGTCTGATAATGATGAGCACATGTGGTGAATAATAGTTTTTTGATTCATCAAGGGGTGAGACTTATTCTGACAGGTCAACAACTCGGTGAGCTGATAATTATTAGTAATCACATGGTGTGTTGTCGATTATATTCAGTCATTGTGTTCTGGTGCGTCAAGTTGATGATGTCTCCGAGATGAGCTCAAAATGATTATTATGTCAAACAATGCAAGCGGGTGGAATTCCAACATAATAATAAGGGTTGAGTGGTACTAGTATTGCAAAACAAAAATGTTAATTAATTAAACTGTCACTAATTAATTAGTTGAATGGTGTTATATCTTAAATATTGAGAGATAAATCAAGGATAATGCATCCTATGTAATTGGGGTGAGAAAAAATAGTGCAATAATAATCTTTAGTCGACTGATTTATTAGTAATGACTCGAGAAATATGATGGACCACAACCCAAGTATTTGTTGGTTTTTTGGGAGAGACCTATTCCTAACCTCCTTAATATCTCTATTGTAGCCTATAAAGAAATCACCTGAGGTCTCGTTCTCTTGCCAGAAATCATAACTCACACGCCCAACCATAATAAATATAGGGCTAGGCGTGGGAGTGAGACAAGAGAGGAGAGAGCTAGCACACGAGTTCAGGAGATCGTCGCTCACACGATAACCAACTGAGGTGAATGAATACAACTAAAGACGTTGAGGTCATAGGCATCGAAAGGCGAGCTAGACATGTGAGTTCAATAGTCGAGAAGTCAGAACATTTGTCCGACCCCATAGGACGTGTAAGTTGTCTTAGAGTCGGCTTAAACAAAACCGTAAGATCTTGATCCTAATCTTTAGATCCGCTGCATATATGATTAATTTCTTAGGATTCGATTAGAGAACAATCACATATGTTCTTTGTTGAACCCAACATAATCGAGATTAAGAGATAAAATGACTTATGAGTCCAGTGGTGGGACTAGCAAAGCAAATATGGTTTCAAAACTAAAATATTTTGCTGATAAAAGTAAATAATCAATAATGCTTCGGTCTAAAGAAAAATTTTAAAAAATCAAAGGGCAAAAAAGACTCTTATTTTGTATATGAAAAACATGGACATGTTGCAAGAGATTTTCAGGATCAAAAGGGGCTAAAATGAATGCAATCGATGATGAGATTATTGCAACTTTAAGTCATGTATGTGACATCTATGGGAAGGTGCAAGGACGGTAGTAGGACGCAAGTGTCACCGTTCATGCTACCGCTGACAAATAATTTTTCAAAACCTTTGGAAATGCAAATGGTGATCAAGAGATTCAAACAAGAATTGAAAGAAAATCCGAAGTGCTAGGCAGATGCACAATTTGGATGATTTTTACTTTAGGAAAAAAGATCACACTTATCAATGTGTTGTATGTTCCTGATATGAATAGAAATTTTGCCAGTGGTGATTTACTTAACAAACCGGGTATAAATGTCGTGTTTGAATCCTGTAAGCTACTTTTTAAAAAAATAAAAAAAAAAAATGTTTGAAAAACTTTTTTTTTATTGATAGGATGATTTAACTTTATACTGAAAACAACATAGAAGTCGAAGTTGAAAACAATGGATAAGTCATGCGTAATGTTATTTATATATTTAATTTATAATACTATGGTAATATTTTTCCCACGTACTAGTATAATTTAGTGTCATTTTCATATATTTTTTATTATATTTTACAAATAATCTAGTAGCAATACAATACTCATGTATATATAAATATTAAATTAATAGATTTATGTTTATAAGAAAATTTTAAAGTTATGATTTATTTTTTAAGCATTTATTAGAATTGCTTTATTATTTCTATTTAAATTATATCATTCACCCTTAAACTCAAGCATTCTTATTATAATAAATTCTACATTAATTTCATATAATATGTTTGACATTAAATTTATTTACTTCATAAATATTATTTCTATAATTTATAAAATTGTTTAAATTAACACGAGAATTGGTCATTTTCCTATTTCCGAGGTCAAAAGCAGAAAGTAGAAAAAATGTACAGTCTTTCAATTTTGATAGGGAAATTCTACTGTCCCGTCACGGTACTATTTCGTCGGGACTCGGGATATGTAACCGATAAATCAACTATCCACGGCGATTACATGATAATCTAATAATCATAAATCCCGACGGAATGGTTCCATAGACGGTAGCATTTCTCATTTTGATAATAATAATTTCCTTGATAATAAAAGGAAAAGGAAAAAGAAAAAAGGGGGAAAAAAAAGCAAAAAAAAAAATGAGTAGAGCGATATGCAAATCCATACTATTGCCTTCTCTCACTTCCACTCATCTCCGGACCGCGCCGCTCCGATCCACCGCGTCGAGGTCTTCTCGAATGGCCGCCGAAGATTCTTCTTCTTCATCATCGTCCTCCTCTTCTTCTCCTTCACCTTCCTCAGCCATCGATTTCCTCACTCTGTGTCATCGTCTCAAGGTAACTCCAATGTATTTATGTATTGTGTTCGTGCTAGTTTTCGCATTGAGACTGTGCTGGAAATGCGAGATTTGATTGAATGTATTACCTAGTGGCTGCGCAGAGTGAAATTTTGGAATGAAAATTTGTGCGTTTCAGTGTTTTCTGGCTTGTTTGTTAATGGTTTGATGTTCATATAGCTGATTAAAAATGGGGAAATGAATGACATTTAGCCTTGAGGTAGCCGTGATCCTGCTATTGTATACGTCTGTTCTGTAGTTTTTTTATTCTAAACAATTGTGCAGTGTTGTGAAAGATATCTTTCATTGGATACTGGTATTGGATTTTTAGCTGCTTTATCACATTTAGGGATCTTTAGCTGCCATCATATCTTTGGGATCCATACAGGATGCAGGACGAGTAACGGATGATTACTTTGAGGGAACTTGATAGTTATGGGTGTCGATTTTATTCTTGTGTGGCTGGTGACTGTCAGTGCATTGCAGCTTTTATGATTCTGTGGAAAAAATTGGTTTAACAACTGCTTCTCATGTTTTCGATGCTATATGCCTCATTTAGATTTGCTGATGTTGCATTTTGGAATGTAATTAGACAACTAAGAGAGCCGGATGGGTGCGAAGAGGGGTTAAAGAACCGGAGTCAATAGCTGATCACATGTACCGGATGGGATTAATGGCTCTTATAGCTTCCGACATTCCTGGTGTAAACCGTGAAAAGTGGGGCGGCATTTATAAATTGTTGCATTTCTGTTTTCTTACTTCATTTTGGTGAAGCCTGATATTCATTCGATGAACGATATGAAATTCCTATTTTTGTTTGGAATATTTGTCGGCAATTCTCTTTTGATTTTCAGGTGTATGAAGATTGCCATTGTGCATGACATTGCTGAAGGTGAGAATTACTCATTTGCACTAGTTACACTTCTCGAATATACTATCTGCCTCGAATGATGGTGCAATCCTTATTTATCTGTATATTTTCTGTATGAGAAAGATATCGTCTAGTCGCCCAAAATCCTGTTCTTAAAATATATTTGGGTATTATATAGTTTCTATGTTATCGTCTGAAAGGATGCTTGTGCACCTGTGTTTACCTTTACTAATGAAGCAAAAGAAGCCGAGGAAATGTAATGAAATAGATCCGGTACTAAATGTTATAACCCGGTGTAACATGTATAAGTTCTATAGTTGTTTTGGTTATATAAACCCCATTTACTATTCCAAAACTATCCTAAGTGAGAGAGAGAGAGAGCATTTATTGTCAGCATGGTGATGTATATGATGATTTATTAGCATTAGCTTATTACTTTATTTATTTATTATAATGTCATCAGAAATGAATAATCTTGATTTATGTTTGTCTAGTGTACGATCAATTTGCAAAAGCTGATCTACCGTTGTTCTTGTTTGGTTCATCTGGACAGCTATTGTTGGAGACATCACTCCTTCTGATGGCATCCCAAAAGAAGAAAAGAGCAGACGTGAACAAGAAGCATTAAAAAACATGTGTGAATTGCTTGGTGGAGGGGAACGAGGTATGAAACCCCTTCATGCTACACTTGCAATTTGTTTAAAATCAATCTCGACAATGTGATCTATCTTTTTACCAGTTGCCTGCTGATAGTACATATTTGATGTAGCTGAGGAGATCCGTGATTTGTGGATGGAGTATGAAGATAATTCTTCAATGGAAGCTAAACTTGTAAAAGACTTTGACAAGGTACTACGTTATGGATGTACTATGTAATATTGAATTCACTTACTTGATTGCTCTTGTAGTGATATGTGTTGCTCAAGGTTCAGAATTAAAGTATATCAATTTAGTCCTCTCACTGAGTGTAAATCATGCAAGATCTATGAAGCTTACAACATGAAGCGAATTCATACTAAAAAGTGAAAAATGAAAAATAGCAAACATCAGGAAAGTAGGAATAAGGTGAAACACATAATCTCATGTAGCATCCGCGTCTCATCATGGAGGATGAAACTCTATGGGGTACAGTCGCCTGTTGGTATTTGGAGATAGTTATTAGACAAGTAATTTACCAGGAGAGACGCTGAACCTTAATTTGGTAGTCGCATATATGGTTATTCTCAGAGATGTTTAGCATACTGAAACTATTAGTTTTATATTTTTTATTTGATTTGTGCTTCCATTATTTGCTACTTTCATGTCTTCTCAATTATGGTAATTATTTATTTATTTTTCAGGTGGAGATGATACTTCAAGCCTTAGAATATGAAAATGGTAAATCAACACTGTCCCTGTCGTTGTTTCCAGTACCTTTCAATACTTTGAGATCTTGGATTTTTGGATCTTGTGTCGTGATAGTGCCTGAGAAATTAACACCTTGGTTTCCCCAAACTCAAGAAGAGTATATCTGATTACTTGATGGGCACCTACCTATATGAGTTGGGCTCATGGCTTTTAAATATCATATTTCAGATTTTAATAGGAAATTTGGATTCCTGTAATTAACAGTTAATACCACAACACTGATGGTTAAAACGAAAGGAGCAGTAATTTCACGCATAGCATACATACAAGCTGGACGTGTGGACTGCAACGTAGGACGTAAATATTATTTAATGTGTTAGAGACCATCCCAATGGAAGAATTATAATATTTAAACATTCTTGATTATTTTGATCATTTTAGTATCTGTCATAGTGTCATAGTAATTGCCATGCCAAACAAATAAAATGAAAGTTCATGGTGAATGATAAGTATGAATCAAATAGTTTCACCTAATTTTGTTGGCGTGTATCTGGCCAAAACGTTTTCGATCACTCCGAAACTGATACAATCTTGTCTGCAGAGCAAAGCAAAAATTTGGAAGAGTTCTTTGAGTCCACTGCAGGTGCACACTAATATCCAGTTTTTTATTTTTGCCTTTTTTCCACAAAAACATCCATTCTACTTATCCACTACATTTACGTACTTGTTGCTATCCTCATATTTCGTAAGTTTCAGGAAGAGAATTTGATATTTGCTTATTTTGACCGTCTTACATCTCTCACATATTAAGTTTACATCTGCTGAGTGTGTTCAGAAAGTATTGGCACAAACTCAAGCAATTTTTTTTTTTTAAAAAAAAATGCAATAGTTATTCCATTTTAATGAAATTATTAAATTTAAAGTTTTTACAAATCATCCATATCCGTATGGAATTCTTTGATATCAGTTAAATGTTTCTTTTTGAGATATTGTTGGAGACTCCTCAAATGGTCGTAATAGCTGATGAATCATTTCAAGTGTTATACTCTTGTGAATGGGCTTTTCCACTTACTGAAGAACTAAATGCATTATTTGCAAAAATGTTTCTAAGCTGAAATGTTGGCATGATCTTCTGACTTATTGTTTATGTTTTCAGTCACTATATACGTTTGTTATATAGTGTTACCTAAATTTTCTTTCCTTCTAATGCTCGTTATTGAGAGAAGCCGAAAATAAATATGTCTCGATTTATTGTCATCCTGTTTAACAGCCGGTCTTTTTGTAGGGAAGTTCCAAACTGATTTGGGAAAAGCTTGGGCTTTTGAAGTTGCATCAAGGCGAAAAAAGCAATAAACGATGTTTAACTGAAATATACCTGGAAGGCCGAAAGTTACTAGTGTTCTTAACCTCTTTGGCTGGTTTTCAGTGGATACACAGTTTTAACTGTTGCAACTTTTGAGATAGGTACAATTCGCACAGCATACTGTACAACTGTTGAGTAGCTAAGCGCTCATTTTTTTATGTTTCTATGAAGGAGTATGCAATGACGTAGGCCAGAAAGACCATGTTTCATATGTTTGCAAGTGTTCTAAGTCCTTGACTTTATTCTAGTTCTACGGAGCTAAAAAGTTTGATGTGCTACAACTTTCGAGACAATTGTCGTTGTATCTTTGAGGACAATACGCATCGTCATCACTATGCACGGCACATTTGTCTTGCGAAAAGAGATATTCTTACCCCGAATTTAATCTTCCCGTTTAAAGTTGTAATTTCATTTCATATTTTCTTATTTATTCTGTAAGAACTGAAGTGGATTCTCGTAAAGTCCATACTCAATTTGTAACAATAGAAATAATAAATATTAAAATAATCACACAACTGAAATTAGATTTGTGAGTACGGATTAAAAATAATGAAAAATGGATGTTTGAATAATCACACAACTAACAAAGTTAGGTCAACAAAATGTTCTTCAATTAGTATTTGTGTTGCTTAGAATTGTGAGAAAGCAAAGTCCTTTATAACATCTCCAATGTTAGATGTTGACTCAATGAAACATTAGACACATCATAAAGTTATAGGGAATGACTACAGTTTTGTTACCTAATCATTTCGTCAGTACTTTTTAGCGTAAATTATCTACCATACACTAATCTACATGTGTATATGACGGTTAAACACTGACGAAATGATTTTGTAATGCGACTCTAGTCATACCCTAAGTTATAAAGTTAGTACAAAAGTTACTATTTGATCCACAGTGTCACTGACTCTTTTATGATGACATGAATAAATTAAACCTCAACATCGTGAAACTCACATTTCATTTGAAAGTCAACTCATTTAAAATCTAATAAACGAAGGGTTTTTTCTTTCTTGTGATTTAGTTTTAATTATTTTGTTTTACTTATTATTAAATGAAATAAAATTCACCTTTACCAATTTTATGTTTTTGAATGGATGCATTGAGAGAGATATATTCCAAATCATAATATGTTTCTTAAAAAAATTTAGACAACAACCACAAACCATTGGCATATTTCCATTCTGGTCCCCCGATTCTTAAAATTATAATTAAAAACCGGAATCTAGGCAGCGATTGTGGGGTTTAAAACGGAAATACTCAAATCTAACTGTCTCAAAATGGAATAAGAAGAAATATCTTACGGACTAGTAGATAACTACCGCCTGATAAGAAATTCAAAATAGAGAGAACAAAAGAGGTGACCCTTATTACCGTTGGCAGCACGCACTTCACGCGCTCAGAAACCCACAGAGCGGCCGGAGGAAGATTATGCCGAGAAACTCCGGCGTGGCGAAGTCGAAAATGAGGTCGAAATCGACGAGGAAACCACTTCGAGACGTATCGAATGCCAAGATCGCCGTGAAACCTGCCGATAATTTGAAGATAAATTCCGAACACGAAAGAGGACAAATGGGAGACGACGATTCACTCGACCGCCTCCTCCTCGTACAGTCTGATCTCTCATCTCTCGTGCGTCAGGTAATGTGTTTATCATTTGGGCAATTTGTATTGGAAGTACTTTCTGTTTTCTCTCTTTTTTTTTGGGGGGGCCTAGGGTTTTGGTATGTTCGATTTGGTTTTGAATTTGGATGTTTCTGTGATTGTGAACATCAGTATTCACTCGGATTTGTGTTCCGAATCGGTTTCATTATCGCTCGTCGAGACTAAATGGAATCAGGAATTTTGGGGCGACCATGTCTGAATGGTTTGCCTGCTCAATGGGTGAAAAGTTTTGTTCTGGTTAATTAAGGGTCCACTGTGAGATCAATTAAGAAGGCCGTAATTTCTGGCTTTTGCATCTGGTTTTGATGTTCTGCCATAGGTGGTTGAATTATTGAACTGCCTGTTCAGCCTACTTGGTTGCCATGATCAGATGTGGATGCCTCTTCTTGTTTCTCTTTCATTTTCATGACTTTCTCTTTATGTGTGGTGTGTGTTTGTTTGAGAATTGGTTACTATTGTGCTAATTAGTAATTTGAACTGATTTAGTGTATCCAGAAGTGATCATTTTGGAATTTAAGAAAGTAGAAATGGTGTGTGGATTACTGTTTCTTCTGATTCAGCAGGGTTTATTGTCAAGTTTGAGCGGAGTGTGGTGGATTTATTTACTTGTAGATGTGATTTAGCCAGTTCGGGTTTTGTGATCCATATTGGCTTATTACTTGCTCTACATCATACTTTTTCTTACCAAATTCATGCCAACTAAGTGTAAATCTATGTATCATGTGGCATGAATACCTTCGAAATGCTTATATGCAGTGCTTGATAGGAAAATAAAATAGGTGATACACAATTGTTTTTATCCCGCTAACTCAAGTGTGGAAAAAGGAACCAAATTCCTCTTCCTGTGTTCTCTGCTTTACATTTCACCAACGTTCATTTTCTCTTTTCAGCTGTAGAATGGGAAAACCTGCTATGTAGTGTAGTCATGCTAGCTTCTTCTGCAGTAATAGATGGCAATATTATGGCTTTTTTTCCCCCCTAAATCACCTGAAGTTCACTTTGAAATTGGAAAACTGGGCTCAAATCTTAGTTATTGGACATTGTATTGGTCAAGATGAGTATATTTACGTCTTTTTCCAATAATCTGCTGGCAGATTGATGAACTAGTTGTCCAAGCACTCCAGTTGACAGGCGATAAAGGGATGAAGGAAATTATACAATTTGCAGATGTCTTGTCTGATATGCAGGCCTCCTTGAAGGTCGATCCTTCGTTTAAATACTTATGATTATGATTTGTGACCTCAAAGTTTCTCAAAGTTTGAATGTATGACTCTCTGCAGCCATGGGTTCCCAGATTACAGAAGGCACTGCTCAGTCAATCAACAGCGCCCAAGAACGAATCAGAGCAATCAACAGAAAGAACTGTATCCTGTGTGCCAGTAGAACACGAAGGTACCCTTTTTGAAAGTCCTGAAAAAACCAAGTGGGAGTCGCTCGTCTCCCCATCACCACTCGTGTCCTGGCGGGCCGAGTGCAACACGGAAGGTGGCAGGCAATTGTTTTTACTTACACCACTGCCCCAAAAGGGGGCATTTTCGCTAAAACGGCAAGTGATGTCCATTCCCACATTCCAAAATATTGAAACTGAAGAAAATACCAAGTGCGGGAACTCAACCAAGATTTCTGAAGCGAATTGTCTGTCAACTTTTGTCATGACTCCACGTGTGAGAATGTCACCGCCTAAGTCTTGCATTCTGCTCGAGCCCATATCAAAGTCTGCCCAGAAGAAGAAAACCCTTGGGGCCTACAAAGCGACACCTTTTCCTCCTGCGCACGCTCGAAATTCTGGTGGTGGGTCCCAAGATTCCGATTCCTCGGGCACTCAATCTTCGGATGACCTGGCAATAAAATACCCTGAGCTTTTTGGAATCAAATTGAATGATCTGGAAAAGAAGATGGTAGAGGAAGATTCTCCTGATTGGATTGTCTCACCTCCTAAAACCTGCGTAATAATGGAGCCTGCTGACGAGAAACTGCTGGAAAATACTTTTGGTAACAACTTGGGGAAGCAAAAAGATGCAGCTTGTGATCAGCAAGACAACTTGTTTGCTCTGAAGAAAGTAGACTACAAAGGGGGTCAAGGTACATGTGTTCAAGGCATTTTGTTCCCTTTATCCAAATTTGCAATAAACACACTAAAGTTTTGCCTAATTATGTAAAAAGAAAAAAAACAGCTGCAAAAGTTTGATCTATGGGTTTTTAGTCCCACTGTAGTTTCTGGAATTATCTGTTATATTATAGAAGTGCTGACGAGCGAGAGGCCTGATAAATAATTAAGGTGCTTGCTTGTTTTTGTCACAGCAGCTATTGGATGTAAGATTGATCTAGTCGAGAGCACACCCATGATTAAGGAGCCTATAAGCTGTTTACGAACGGGAAATCAGCCAGGGGAAAATACTTTGAAAAAGGAACTTTGGACGAGATTTGAAGCTGCAACGACTCACGGTATGCATTTCGGTGACTCTATTCTCCAAGACAAGACTACTAAAAAGGGATTTCTTGACCGTTTAGAGGAGGCTCTTGAATCATAAAAATTTTAGTTTGTATTGGGTATAATTTTTGAACTCTACTTGTGGAAGCAAGTATAAAGTTTGAAGGTCTTAAGATGATGTATCATTTGTATGCCAACTTGCCAAAAATATGAGAGCCTCATTACTAACGATTTTAAAGGACTTGTGAGACATATTAATGTGTAGATATAATGTGTTATCTTGTATGATCTGCGTATGTTAACTTTTAAGTAGCTTACATATAGACATGGACACTGGGCTTAACCTGACCGAGGACTCCCTAGTTATGGCTCGTTGACCACGGCCCTGAAACTGTTGACCACGATTAAGGTTCAAACCAGAACTGAATAAAGTCAAAATGTGGGCTGGTTATGTCATCTAAGTTATTTATTTTGCGATCCAGTTCAGTAATGCAACCTGAATCGGATATTCCAAAATCCAAATTTTGAACTAGCGGTCTACCTTCCTAGACCGGATCTAGATGAACTGCCGATTTTTCATCCGGACCGAACATTAAAAAAAAAAAAAATTCAAATTATGAATGGTTGTGATCATCGTAAAGCTAATTACCAACATTCTTAAGTTTCATTATTCCAAGCTCGTTTCCTTTTCGTGGTGCTTTGTTTTTTTGGTTTCAGTTCAGTTTTGCTGGTTTTTTTATGGAATTTTTCTCCTCCTGTGATAAAAGTTATGATATTGGGGCACTTGCTCTTCAGAACATGAAATTGTTGTTGGTATTTGGAGTTTTTCGGAAGAGACATTGATGCGTATGCGGTGTATTCGTTTGGGATTTGGAGTGATATTATGAGTCTTTTTAAGATTTTCAAATTTATCAGTATGAAATCTTAAGTTTGAAGGTGAAATTTAGAATGAGATTTTGTATATGATTTTTTCTTTTGAAATTTCAGTAAAAATCTTAAAGAGCCGTAACAAATCCTAGTCTCAAATTTTGTAAGACTTTCTAAAATTTTAAATGAATACCTCTGGAGCTTATAAAGTCTAAATTCAATCCACTAGGATTTCAGAAAATCATAAAAAGTCTTTAGAAATCTCAAACGAATACACATATGGGCAATTCATAAGTCCTCGTCCTAGACGTCCAATTCGTTAGGTGGATCGACCCGTCATTTTTTTTTTTTTAACGAAAACACATACTATGTTATGAGATACATGTCGTTAAGAAGAAGATGAACGACATTCGCACGAGAAATATTACTTATGCAGAAGCATAAAAGTACAATAAGAACAACAACCTTTCATACATTTCTAACAAAAAACCAAAGGCCTGTTTTTACTAATTTGTAATAAGAGAAGCTGTGAGTTGGTCCTTTAGTTATTTAGGGCGACAAGCTTTTTCAACAGGCCCAGCTTGTCTTGCATACTACAAAAAACAAACACAGAACCAAATATCAGTTTTTGTCTGTGAAAATTTTGACAAAAAAAGTAAATAAAAAAAAAAAAAAAAAAAACAAAAAAAAAAAGAAATAAAATAAAATAAAAAGGGACCTGAAAATAATTTTCCAGTTTCTTTTTCAGAGCAGCATATTCCTTCTTCAGTTGTTGGAAAGTTTTCTTGCATCTGTAGAAAGTGAGAAAAAAATATGATTAAATTAAATAAACCAAATTAAAAGTGTAATAAGTAATAATTAAAAGCATAATTAAGGTAACTTTTACCCTTCACCATCTCCAACTCTGCAGTGTTCTCTGAACTGTGTGGCCTCAATTTTGACTTTTCTGGCTCCAATGCTGTAACAATTAAGTACATTTAGAAAATTAGGATATTTTATTAATGCCCCAAAATTGATTTTAATCAATAATCTCCAATCTCCAAACATTTTAATTTACTCCTTTTTTTTTTAAAAAAAAAGGGTTAATAATAACCTTGAACTGCTGCCCTTGAACTGGTGCATTATGCTGTCCAACTTAACAAAGTCAATAGGTTTTTTCTCCCTACAAAAAAAAAATAAAAATAAAAATAAAAATAAAATAACAAACAGAGATAATTAAATAATATGTATATTCAAGATATTAAGAAATGAAGGTTTAATTAATCTTGACAACAAACAGAGATTTTGTTGAAACAAAAGTGAAACTCACAAGGCTTGTTCTATATTTTGGATCAGTCGAGCTGAATCCCGGTAGTATAACGTAACAACTTCTTCGACAAAGTTGGGATTCGCATCATCTTGAAGCTCTTCTAGCTGATGAAATTGTTCATCCAAATATCCCTAACAGAAGATTTAATTACAAAAAATTGCAACTGAATTAATTCTATATTCCTTGCAAATGCAAATGGATTTTATTTAGTCTTAAATTTTCTTTACATTTATTTCTATGAAATTCAGTTTGCTCATAGGCTCCAACATATATAGCTTTTGTTTGACCACCAATCCATATATAGAGATTTATAATCACTTTGCATGCAAGTGGCCAAACCCAATGCAAAAGGAAAATAAAAAAGGCCTCTCAACTTGGAAAAAAAGATCAAAAGTAGGGCTATAAACGAGTCGAGCCGAGCTGAGCTCGGCTCGTTAAGTAAACGAGCTAAAATTCGAGCTCGAGCCTTAACGAGCCGAACCATAAAAAATTACATAATTTTCACTTTTCGAGCCTTATAGAGCCTTATCAAGCCGAGCCGAGCTCGGCTCGTTAACCAAACGAGCTTTAAACGAGCTCGAGCTCGGCACATTAAGGCTTCACCGAGCCTTAACGATCCGAACTCAAGCCGAGCCGAGTCAGACTCGTTTAATTTAACAGCACTAATCAAAAGATTACGAAATTTTGACACATGACTGTTGAGTACATCTTAACGAGTGACCACAATTGATAGTCGAGCATTTCCTACATATATAGTGTTTTTTATTTTTTTTTTGTCAATATTCTTAACTATGTGGACATTTTAATTACTTTATAATTAGAAAGGAGCCTATAACATTTTTTTTTTTTTTTTACTCAAAAAGGTAAGACATTTGTACCTGATCAAAAAGTAATTGCTTCATGTTAGCTAGTTGTCTCTGCATTTTATTTGTAAAAATAATAGTTGGAGGAGGAGAAAATATGAAGAAAGAGGTTTTTAGTAATATACAAAGAAAAAGGCTCAAGTTATAGAGATTTATGGGAAGTGTGATTTGAAGATTGAAGCATTGCAAAGGGTCT